ACAGGCCAGATAGATGAAATGAATAGAATAGAGAAGCCCTGTAACAGGTGAGGTACAAATCAAAAGTAGAAAATAATTTCTCAACTGGGACAGGAGGAGTCCCATAGGATGACTTTCCCTGGGACCTTAATGGGCCTGTGGGGGACAAGACATACTTTTTTTTATGTCTCTTAGAGAGGCTTGAGAGAAATCACTATATGCCCTTAAATTATTCCAATTCTTCTCAGTTTACTGCGAGGCTCTTAAGGAGTCACCGCAACCCTTATAAAAAGACTGAGAGTGATTTGATTAAATATAGGAACATAGACTCCACCTCTTGATCTTGAGATTGCCTTATAACTCAATCCACTCCAAACAGGCAGAAAGTGAAAAGGATCCCTTTGTACTTTGAACACACTCTAGACTGTCTCCTTAAAGCTGCTACTAAAATCTTTATAACCATGAGCAATATTTAAAAAGCAGTGAACAAAACCAGAAAAAGATAGCCCTTGTGATTTACAGTAATAGGCTAAGAACCCAGCAGAAAAGAAATGATTGTTTCCCATTTTCATTGTAAATTTCCACAGTGTTATTTCTTCATCAAAGGGGTTATTGGAATCAGTAAACTAACTAGACCAGAGCTAACTTCCCCACCTTAAATTGATTGTTAGAAAGAGTCAGAAGGGATACAGTAGGGCTGAGAAAGTCTTAGAGAAGTATCTTAAGCTTTCTCTTTCTAGTAGTCCTGGCTTCACAGGTAGAAGCAATCATGGATATTAGGATGGATATTTTTAAACATGAATTCATATAATGACATCTAGGATTCTATAGCACTAATCTTTGGCTCAGACTACCCTAAGAATAGATCAACAGACATATATAAAGATTTTCTTAGTTGTAGGAGTGACAAATAAAAACTCTAGATTATCCTGCCAAACTTACATTATGACATTGCTGGACCCAAAGTGTTGTCCAGTGATATGATTATATACCTTCCATTTTTATTTCATTTCTGGGTCTAAAGGGCATCATTTGACTTAATAAAAAACTCAGTAAAATTCTCAAAAGAATTTAAAACCACATGGCTTTAGATATTCCTACAGAAACTTAAGCTAGTACTTATGCTATCATCCAGATGCAATTCCGAAAAATTCTGCTAATGTTTCATCTGATCTATAAAGTCTACAATAATAAGATTCAAAATATGTCAGAAATCATCATGCAATTTGATGAAAATCTCTGGAGACAGAGCTCTTGCTGTTTATGGTGGAAAGGGTTATCCTGTATTATAGTTAGTAGTGATTCTATTAATCTCTGGATCTTTCATACGAAAGAGCTGTTTTAATTTTTAATCTCCTAGTATTTAGAGTCAATCTACACACAGATGGTTCTTTGACAATCTAACATTTTTTTTTTTTTTTTTTTTTTTTTGGTTTTTCGAGACAGGGTTTCTCTGTGTATCCCTGGCTGTCCTGGAACTCACTCTGTAGACCAGGCTGGCCTCGAACTCAGAAATCCACCTGCCTCTTTTTTTAACATTTTTTTTTTTTTTGTTCTTTGACAATCTAATCCCATCTAAGTCTCTTTGATCATTCTTCAAGGCAGAACAGAAACCCTAAAATGACCTTGGCTCTGTAAGAAATTATGTTCTTACCAGAAGTAAGAGATATCAGAACAGTCTTTCTTCTTAATGCTTTTCTCCTAAATGAGCACCCCGCCCTGGAAACTCTATGAGGATGAGGGTCTACGTCCATACTCTAGGAACTAGACAGATCCCTGATAGACAGATAAAGGAAATTACCATAGCTAGATACTAAGCATGGCAAATGCCCAGCGTCTTTCTCAACACCTGGACCTGAGACAGAAGACTGGGGGGCTTTTTATTCAGCTAGCAGGACCCCTTCTTTTCCAGATAACAGGTCCAGGCTGCTCAAATATGTTCAAGGCAGGTTCTGAACATATTTACCTGAAGTTGTGGGCCAATCAGCTGTCCAGTGTTTAAGTGACCAATCTAAAATTGCAAAGGGGGACATGACCTATACCACCATACACATGTGCTTTTATGACAATGACCTACCAGTTTTCCTTTCTTTGTTTATGCAGATAAACCCAAAATGAAAGGAAATGGGATCCATCTCAGCTTGCTAAAACCACTTAAAACCCCTGTCCCTCCATGTAAGAAAGTGATTTTTGTTCCACTCTCTCATTTGTACCCTACATATCCCCACCTCCCGTGTGTGTGTGCTGCTTTAATTATCATAAAGGTTGTTATCTGTTGTCCCTTGCTGACTCTGAAATTCTAAGATTCTCCTTGTCTTTTAATTGTTTAAGTGGATCAGAAAATGAATCAGATTAAGACCTCCTAGGTCTACATGATAACAAGGACATTATCAAACATAGGAGATATCTGTGTATCTCAGACGGGCCAATTAAACTGATTAGTTCATTTCCATTCTCACCTCCATTCATTTATACTCATAGATCAGTGCAATGCTCAACTCTCATCACAGAAATTTCTTCTTGAAGCAGATGATAATAACCACAGAAACCTACAACTGGATAATGTAAGAGATTGAGGGACTTTGGAGTACTCAGTCCTAAGTGGAATGTCTTTATCAAACCACTCCCCTTAAGGCTCAGGAATCTATATGGAAAAAAGTTAGAAAGATTGTAAGAGGTAGAGATGATGAATGACTCCAAAGAAACACTATCCTCCAGACACAACAGGACTCATGTACATATGGACTCACAGAAATTATGAAAGTAAGCATAGGATCTGTGCATTTAAGCTAGATAGTCTCAGCACTGAGAGGAAGAAGTGGAAACAGGGTCTCACCCCTAACTAAGAAGGTATTTACAACTGATACCTACTGGAAAAGAAAAACCAATTTTCTCTAATTCCAGTGGAATGTCACTGGGCACATTAACTGCACTCCAGGGTGCTCCATTTCCAGGAATAATTGAATTTCTCTCTCTCTCTCTCTCTCTCTCTCTCTCTCTCTCTCTCTCTCTCTCTCTCTCTCTCTCTCTCTCTCTCTCCCCCATCCCTCCCTCTCTCTCTCTCTCCCTCAGACACAGACACAGACACACACACACAGACAGACACACACACACACAGACACACACACACACACGCACACACACCTTCCATGGATCACTTATCAGCTTTATTTCTTTGAGTAAAATTAAAATTAAGTTTTTGTAGTGGTCATGGTTATCCAAAATTGATTGAAGAAGAGTGAGAAAGATGTGACTAACTTGTGGAGAAAAGACACATTACACCTGGGATTGTGACTCTAGACTTCTTTACAGATGGAATCTAGATGGAAAAAACAAACCTAAGACCAAGACAGGCTGAACAGTTCATGAGGTCATTATTGCTTTGGGACATTCTTCAACCAGGATATAAAAGGGACCCTATTAGTAGAGTTTTTAGGGTCAGAGTCTGGGCCCTCACAGCTCTTAATAAGCCATGTTCAGCCACACATCCTCAATAGGCCAACTAAACAAACAAATAATAGTTAAAAACTACAAGGGGAAGTATTCAATAATGCCACATTGGGAAGAGAAACAAGGAGGCCCAGTATACATGCCCACAGGTGCACTATTGTGTCTCTACCATGAGGTCTGCATTTACCTAGCAGATCACAGATTGAAGCAACTAAGTAGTCTTAGTATATGGGGTCATGCATCATCATTGCCTTGTCTCCAGTCTTATGGGCAAAATGGTCAACAAGTTGATAGTAGTATCCAAAATCTCTTTCAGAGAAATAAACTTTCCCTCTGCTGGAAACAGCCTTCAGATGTTTCTTTCTCTCAGCATGAGATTTCTGGATAAATTCCAACTGCACATAATCTATTACTTAAATAGTCTGATCAATGAAAGAAAGAAACCTTCCTTTCTATGGAAGAAATTATTAGCTTGAGGTTGAGGTTAAACTGACAGGGGCATCTGTCCTCTTGACACTGTCTGATGTCTAGAGTTTCTGAGAGCAACCACATAAAAAATCTTAAAGAGGAACTTCTTTGAATTTAGGGTTTCAATAATGTAGATTACACACATTACAATTACTATGATATAAGTAGTATGAGAATTTGCCTCACTTGGTGTCTTAAACAAGCAGTGTGGTAAGATTCTTTCTTGAAGTAAGCATTTATAAAGTGAGAATATATGAAGAAGACACATGAAAGAGAAGTCAGAAGGCAAAAAAAAAGGATGATGAGAATAAGAGGAGGAGAAACAGCAACAGCAATGTTAGCCTTAGTGGTGATGCACAAACATTTACTATCAATTAATAACACAAAAACTTTTGAGTTGAAGTAGAAACTACTTAGCCTTCATCAAAACTATCATGCAGGCTGAGATTGTAGCTCAGTTGGTAGAGTGCTTGCCTATCATGGATTGGTTGGATCCCAATCATAGCATAAAACACTATTGTGATGTATGCCAGTCATTCCAGTGTTCAGAAGCTGGATGCTGGAAGAAGAGATGTTCAAAGCCATTCCTGGTGCATACAGCATCTGAAAACAACCTGGCATACGTGAGATCTTGTCTCAAAGCTAAACCAAGCCAAATAAATCAAACTGATTAGACAGCTATCAAAATACACATAGAAACAACAGGTGTGGGAATTAAGAGACCCCAAAAGGAAGATCTGTGTAGATGTACTTTGGGAGAACGGTTTATAATCATTAATTTAATTTTAAGTAGTATAAAAACCATTCTTTCCATCAGGAAGTTCTGTAATGATGAAAATGTTCTTAGTTTTGGATGGATATAGTGGCCACCAGCCCCTGCTGGATACTGAGTACTAGAATCTAGCTATCATGACTGGGAGATTCGGTTTTAATTTTAATCAATTATAAGTGACTTTCAAATAGTCACTAAGAGCAATTGCCTTGCTTAACTGGACATGTGTTTTACTATTACATCTTTCATAAATAAATTTAGAAATATTTTGAATTCACAAAATGTCACATTCCTCAGTAAGCTAGCTTCTGGAATGAAGTGGTGGACTTACCCTCACCTATAGGAACTTCTTCTTCCAGTTCACTGGGGGAAGGAAGCAGAGGCTGCAAAGGTTCCATGTTGATGATGAGCTGTTTGTTCAAGGAGTGAAAGCTGCGACTCTGAGTAATGTTGACTCTAAAAACAGACATAAGCCAAATAAATGTAGTGTCTGCTACAAAGACTGGCCCCTCCTACTCAGTGGCTGCCTAAAATGAGAACTACCTCTGGACAGATAAAGAGAATGATGCCAATAGTAAAAATGTCTTGATAGTTTAAATACCAGACTCTCCTTGTCAATAAATTTCTGACAAGAGTCTATACTGGCTATTCAGCTCTGTAAAATAAACTTCCCCAGGTGTCATCAGATGAATATATGCTGGGTGACAACATACACTTTTTAAGTAGACACAGGTAACACACCATGAAGTCTGCTAGCATGGACTCAGACAGGTAGAAAGGCAAGTGCCAGTAGCTCAGAGTCATTGAACCACCACAATGAATCCTGCTTGGACAGAGGACACAGATGATCTGCAAGTGTGAGCTGTCTTCATGTTGTCAGATGTTCAGTGTTTAAGATTTCCATTTGTGCCCTGCTCCTCAGACAGCCATGAAATATAGTTCTGGTTCTCCTTTGGAAAGGCGTGTACACAATAGGTGCTATGACAAGTACCAGATGACGAGGAATCTGTTGATGTTTTATTAAAACTACCGATGGGCAGCCGGAAGTCCATTGTCATTGATGTCAAATGTCTCTTCCTCGAAGCCTTCCGAGTTTGTTCCTTTTATTCTCTCCTTTTCACATACTGCTCTCTCTTCTTTCATAATTGATCACGTTCATTACTTTTGTCAGTCAGCAATTTTTATTGTACTAATCAGTCCCACTGTGATGTGAGTACTGGCCATTCTTAAGTGCCTCACAGTGTTGCACTCTATACCAGCTTATAGGCTTTTCAGGTCCTAATCTGAAGTAAACTGAGTACAATTTTAGCTTGATATAATCTGGAATTTCACATTGCCAAAGATTTTCTCAGGCTAGTAACTTCTGTTAGGACTTCCATGGGAAGACAAAGAGTAGATATCTATTAGCATCTCAAATTGGAAACTCATAGCTGACACTGGCTCCATCAGAAAATTATTGGAACGTATCTTACCATAGAGTCATTTCTTCCTTTATCATTCTAGAAGTGGATGTTGGAACGGATGATTATGTATTATGTGATGTGTTTGTTTTGATGATAGGTAGCTCTCCCATTAAGGAAATCACTGTCCATAAGTAAGATTTTCACTTTTTAAAAAATAACTGAGATACATATTATGAAATACATTCTGTGCCATCTATTTTTCTCCCAACAGTTTTCATTTGGAGATGATGAACATATTGATAATCCATTCATGGCTGAAATGTCAAACAACTGCTTGGTTCTGGGTCAGACTGAGGTTTCTAGGGTTGCCTTCCCACTTATAAGTCCATTTTAGTACTAGACAAAAGTGGGACAACTTGGTCCCTATATACAGATTCATGCTGCTTTATTGTAGTAGAGGTCTATGGCTGATGGACATGCCCAGTGTTAGGTAGATGACTCCTGAGGGCATTACAAACCTCAAATTTTAAGTAACATGACAGAGAAGGTCACAGTTTTTCTAGTAACTACAAAACTCAGATAAACCCAAAGGAATTTTCTCCAAAATTCTAGGGCTCCAAGCCCTAGGATAACTTGATAATTCGAGAGAAAGAGCTAAGAAAGTTAATGGGAAAAATGGATATTTCCCACCTATTTTTAAATATTTATGGTTTAAAATTAATGTTTTGTTTTAAATCCCATTTATTGAAAACATTTTCAGAAAAAAGGAGAAAAAAAATACAATTTCTATTGTGGTAGTACTTAAGAGGCAAGGGCATCTGGATATGATTCAGTCATGAGAGCCCTCATGAATAATCTAGAGTTCTTATCAATGTACTCTGAGGGCCAATGGGTTGACTCAGTAGGCAAAAATGCTATACTTGACGGCCTGATTTTTTTAATCTCATGGCCCCATAGAGAATGGAAGGAACTGCTTCTTCAGTTGTACTCTCATATTGCAACACATCCCATAATGAGTGTACATGTGCACTTGCCTCCCACACTCTCTAAATACATGAAAACCAAATAGAACTCCAAGCCAGTCTGTTTTTCCTCTCCTTCAGTGTCAGACAAGCAAGACATTTCTGCTTATGGAGAAATCATCACAAGATATCAAGTCTTTCAGTGTTTCAGTCATGGGCTTCCCATCCTTTAGAACCATGAGAAATAAAATTATGTTGTGTACAGACTACCCAAATAAAAATACCCAAAATGCTGTGGTATTTTGCTATAGAAACTTAAATACACTGTATCTTCTATGTCCTTTAGATTAAAAATTGTCCCCTTCTTCCTATTTAGAAAGGTTGCAAGGAAGAACACTGACACGATCTTCATTTGAAGCAAATGCCCATTGGCACAATGGCTAAGGACAAGTACATAATAGAACAAAATCTGAATGGCCAGTTCAATTTACATACTGGTTTATACACACTGCTCATCTTTTGGTTTTCACAGTGTGTCTATAAGACAGATAGCCTAAATATTATATTTGTACTGATGAGAGAAATTGGGATTCAGTGATATCATATAACTTGTTTAAAAGGAGCAATTTTTTCTCCCCAACAAATGTCCTAGGCTATCTGACAAAATCCTAGAACCAGGCATAGCTAGTCTTCCTTCTAGTTGTTGATCAGAGGTGTGATCAATACCTCTGTGTGGGGCAGTTCAAGATACTCACAAAAAATGTAGGTTAATGCATTGCCCTTGGTTGTGTCCTAAAACTTGAACACAAGATCCCAGTGCAGCAGGCAAACATATTTCAGACAGAAGATTTGGAGGGATTGAGTTGAAATTGACCTGTAAGCCTCCTCTCAGAGGACTAGCTGTCAAAGTATCAGAAGGGAAAAGGAAGTGCCAAGGAGGAAAAAAAATCAATGATCTTACCCTGCTTTAAAGTCTGTGTACAAGGAAAATAATCTAGTGAGATATTCCTAATTGGGCAACTATAGCATTTTTAATCTTAGGGGTACACAACTGTGTAATTATACTAAGGATTGATTAACAGGAGGGAATTTATGTCTGCTACTGTAAACCTAGCCAACTACCCACTGCTAGTGATGTCACACATCCTAGAGGAGAACCTATTATTACCATTTTCTTAAATAGCATTTTATACCATTCCTAAATGGTATAATTTTCACCAGTTTTAAAAACAATTTTACCTACAGATAAGTATAGTTCTTAACCCCAATCAAAAAAATTTACTTCTTTTTATAGCAGGTGGTGTCTATTATAGTGATCACAACTGGTCAAAATGCAGAAAACAATTTACCATGGTATGCCTAGCTCTAATTAGTACATCTACAATACAGCCTCAACACCTAAGGCATGGAGAAGATTGTAAAGGCAGCCATGGAAACAGTGTAAGAGTCAGAAGATCAGAGTGCTTGCTGCAAGACAGTGTCTTCCAGTCATGAATGGGAAGTTGTGTCTATAAAATCTCAGCAATATGATTGTCTGGACAAGCTCTGCATAAGCCTAGTATCAGCTGAAATGCCAGTGTGCATAAGGGAAATTTCACAAGGCCACACCCTTATATGAGAGATACTGAAAATCTATGGATGCTGAGAGAGGGAGAATCAATTTTCTCTAGGGAGTTAATAGGTTATCTAATACTAAATAGTCAGCCCCAAACACATGTACATACAAAGTAAAATTAAATGAACTAAGAAAAAAATATGCCCTGATATGTATGTGTGAATATATATGTATAGATGTGTGTATGTATCTATAACACATATATTTATGTAGATTTATACACACTAATGTATATATATGTATGCAAATGACAGAGTGGGGTTCATGAAAGGAGTTGTAGTGGAGAGAGAGGCAAAAATGATTTAATATACTCAAGTATGAAATATTCAAAAAGTAAAATTAAATAAAAACAAAAAGGCAAACCCAGGGGTCAAACCCTTGTCTAGGACTTTTCTTTTCTGCCACACTTTCTACATTAGTGACTGAACAGCATAACAAAGGGATTTGTTTTCTAAACTATTTTTCAAGGTTAAGGTAATACAAGAAGGTCCCACTGTGCCAAACACTTTTCTGAGAATTGCCAGGGTTCAAATTGGTTTCACCTCTGTCCTTCCTCCTCATATCCTGAGGTGTTTTAGTCAATTCTGTGGTGCTATAACAAATTTGGAATGAGTGTAGTGTACAAGTAAAATGAATTATTTAGATTACTGTCTAGATACTGGAAAAATCCTGAAAGCATTGTGTAGCCATTGTCTTAGCTCTTGGTAAAAGTCATATGTTGGCTAACCTCATGGCAGACAATGTGGAAAGACAAACTGGAATGTTCAAAAAGGCAAATGTGAGACAGCAACATCCTAAAGAAAATTAACAAATTGGTTCTTACAGAAGAACTCAGTATCATCAAGAGATAGACTCCATCCATGAGGGCAGTGCCTCCGTGATCCAAACATTTCATTTAGCCTTGCTCTTAATTTTTCACCTCCTCACAACTTCTCTATCAGGATCAAGGTTCTTGGTGGACACCACAAACCTTGTCATGAAGTAACTGATTTCTATGCCACTCTAGAACATGTGCTATGTTTCTACACATACAGATCTTGCCCAGTAACTATCTGTACAAATGATACATGGCTTCACAAGCCACTACTGTTCAATTGTATCTGAATAAAACTGTCACTAAGAATATTGCTGCAGGAGGAAAGTTTGTTGTGGCAAATTAAAGTAGATTTTAACATTAGAATTTATGTGGACTTTAGAGTACTGATTTTTTTCTTAGCATGATAAAAGCTTGTATTCAAAGATGAGCAAAGTGAAATTACAGAACCTGATAGTAAGCTGATGACAGGTAAATGTAGGACATGAAAATGGTGACAAGACAAAATGAGTACAATGACATTTAAGACAGTCATTCACCACTCTGTAATCAAAGGAAGTAGTGTTGGCATACCATCCAAATGGATCTCAATACAAATGTATCCTTTAGATTCTACCTCCCCATTTTTACAGTGTTCTGGTTTGAACCACAGGCCTTACAAGGCTGAGCAAATACTCTATTGACCTAATGCCCAGATCTAGCTACCCTGTTCTAAATTAATGACAATAATGATAAAATTGCTCTTACATGTATGTGTATGCCACTTTACATCTCAAAATACTTTTTAAAAGCCCCCAACAAGATTTAGAAGTGGGTTAATGCAACATAAGAATCTCATTTCATAGATGGGTAAACCAATAAACTAAGAAATTCAGTGACTTACCCAAGGCCACAGAGCTGGCAGGCAATGTAGCAAAGATTAAAATCTATTCATTTGTGTATCAGAACATTCTTGTATCTTGCTGGTTCTGGGTGTTCTGTGTGTCCCCTGGTGGTGGATGCTATGCTCCGAGCTGTAGCCCTCCATCTGCTGTGGCCCTTGGCCAGGCTCAGGGATTCTTCCCCAGCAACCAGCCCAGAAGAGCTTTCCCCAGGATCTTCCCATGGCATCAATAAAGGCCAGTGAACTAACGTCAGAATGAGCTTCTCTTTCTGAAGGAAAGAATAATCCTAAAATATTCTCAGTCTGTCGGTTTCTGTCTCTTTATACATACATATTTTTTTTTTTCAGAAGCAAGACTCTATTAGCCTGTCTTTTTTTTTTTTGAGGACTCTCAGGTGTGAGGACAGATGATAAATTAATACCTTATCATTGCTATTATAGACTAATATTTTTCCTGAAGAGTCCCCACAAAATGTAACCTCATTGCTGCATTTTTATTTTTGATAGCTACATGAAAGAAGCATAGATATATATTAAAAGTAAGATAATGGTAGAAAAGAAATGTGTTTTTCCATGTAATATGAATTCTAAGAAAGTAGAAATTACATGAAAGTGTCACAGATTACTACTTCTCTGACCAATGTGGTGCCTTGGAGAGGTTAAGGGCTTTCAGACTAGCATCTTGTACTCAATGCATGTCTAAGAAAATGATTAAATCTCATATCAGTTAAATAGAAGGAACAAGTATAACCTTAAGGCTATTTCCTATCCAAATTTCTTTTTTTTTATAATTTATTTTTTCTCAAATCGTAATTCATTCACACAGGGGTTAAAAACACAGCAAGGCAGGATGTGGGGAAGGGAAAGACACTCGAGTGTGGATGTTCAGGGGGAATACAGATATCTTCAGAACCGGATATCGGCTGGGTGAAGGTTCAGGGGACAAGTCACTATGACTCTGCTTATGACTCGCTTGTCCTTATCTAAGTTGGTATTGTCTGCTAAGGATACCTATTTACAAGGTCTATGACTACTCAGGCTTGTAATTTTCCACACAAGCTGCCTGTTTACATTAGCTTATAGCCATCTGTTTCAATGTTTTTCCACTGAGACCCAAGATTTGGTGTTAGTGTACACGTATGACAGGCCTATTGCTGATTTTAGGCCAAATTTCTGATAAAGAGAAAATGATATATTTTATTGTCCCTGTCTTCTTTTCTGCTATGCTAAACGTTCACAGCTTATGAGAATGGAGAATGTTATAAATTGTCTTCTGATCTTTGAACTGTCTGCCATACATTTAGATATGGCTTCAAGGCACTTTCAATAAATAGCTCCTACACTCTCTAACCCCTCAGGTTTCTCCTACTTTTTAAAGTTGGAGAGACACCTTTTACAGATCTGCATATGAGAACTCTCCTTAGGACTACCCAAAAACAGGGATGAATCATAAGCTGTATATATCTGCATCAGTTCTTCTGAAGAGCTTAGCTATACTCAGCTTTTTAGGAGACTGGTGGTGTCAGGATGACCTTGAATATCTGTCTTAGCCTACTTTCTGAGAGAACAGAGTTATCTCCTTCCTATAACCCCTGAAATAAAGTAGAGTATCACTGAGCTCATCAAAGATTTGAAAATGGAGGAACTGCAGCAAATCTGAACATAAAGGAAACACATTTGGGTTCCAAAGTTGAAGAAGGAAGGGCAGGTGTGAATTATCTTGTGAGAAATTCCCTAAATAATTTAATTCATTAGAAGTGAAGGCCTTATGGGGAAGAATGGGGGCTAAAAAAGAAGGTTTTGGGCACAGGACTTGAAAGGGCAGTGGAAGGTAAAGGTGAATAAGAATTAAATAGAATGATTATATATATATATATATATATACACATATATATATATATATATATAATCATATAAATATGTGTGTGTATGCGTGTGTGTATAAATGCTGTAATCAATGTCATTATGTCATATGATAACTTTAAAACAAAATTGTAAAATAATTTAGTTTATTATGATTTTATTTTGTAGGGTGTGGTGTTATGATGAGAGTGTTCATCTTAAGGCATCAGTATGTTTGAACTTTAGGATATATATTTGTTTTTGTAATTTGTAGTCATATAAAGTCAGTTTGGTAATGAAATAACGTAATTCCTAAGAACAAATTATAGATTCTTACTTTAAAAAAGATATGCAAGATGTAGGCAGGAGAATGAGAATTTTAAGGTTATCCTGGGTTACAGAAAACCTTGTCTCAAAAAAAACAAAACCCCAAACAAACCATGTAATATGCATCTAAGAATAGTCACGCCTTTCCTTCTATGGTTTGACATTTGGACTATAGAGGCCATATAAGTGTTATAAAATTACCAAATGGAAAAGAAAACTGTCAAAAAGGACTGAAGTAATACCTCACTTCTCCATAAGGCCAAGTAATTCAACCCTTTGATTAGGTACAGAGGCACCCCAAAGTATCTGAGGTAACTCGTGGTTCTTTATAATATGAAAACACACACTCTTGAGTGGGAACTTAGGAGCCTAATGAGATATGAAATGTATGAGGCTGTGTGTAGAACTGCATGTAGCACAGCCATGGGTGAGAAATCTGGTATACAAAAAAGACTAAAAGATCACCCAAATGATACAAACCTCTCAATCTTTTATATAATGTTGCCTTTTAGAACTGCTATCCCCTTTCATGTCTCCATCCTCCTTCTTCTCTTGGAACTCTATATCATTGGTTAATAAATTTTCCGTGCTCTACTATAACTGCATGCCTCTGGTCAAATTCACTTCCCATATACAGAAGAACCCAGAAAACACCTCCAGCTGTGTTCAGGGTACCTGAAATCAATCAGCTGTTCAGTCATAGAGAAAGACTCTGAGAAGTAAGCTTGACTATGTCTGATGAGCAAGGTATGGTTAGGGTTGGTCTATGAATGAAGTGTGACAGGGTGATGAAGCAGACAGAGCTAGTAGGAGCCATCCAATAGCATATGTCTTGCTTAGCTATGCAGCATTCTAACCCAATACCTATTTGCATACTATGTGATGTAGGAGGCATCGAAGCTGCCTTGAGGCCATAGCTCTGACAGATGTGAGGGAGATTTCTAGAAAAGTGAATCACTTGACTACATGCTGCATGCCCCTATACATAGACACATGTGAGAGGTATCAAAAGTTAGGATAATAGTTATTTTTGTTGTTGTTGCTGAAGGATGAACCTAGAGCCTCATGTGTCTGGCTTGTAAGTGCCTTTGTCTGTCATCGAAGCACCATCCCCACAAACCAAAAGTGATCACCCTACTTACCTGTGCACCTCAGGAGGATCCCTCTGGATTTTGGAGCTTGCCTCTACAACCTCTTTAGCAACTTTACCACTATAAAATACACAAATACAATGTATGTAAATAAGCACTCCAAATAATGGGGAAGGGTGTATACATGATCCCAAGGTAGCTTTAAGAGTCAATCCTTTCCCCTCTTCCATGAGAAAAATGTACGTGGAGGTTGAGAATGCCTGTCAGGAGTATTACTTGGTGGAATGGGAAGTAGACTAACTGAGGGTAATAGCACAATAACTACAAACAAAAATTCAAATGTCAATGAATGCCCCACCCCAACCCATCACTGCAATGGACCCATTGTTACCCACCTGTATCGAAATCTACTTCCTTTAAAAAATATCTTGCTGCTTGACACAGTCTTGATCTGACTGGATTTTGCATACCTTCAAGGAAAAGCATAGCAGAGGTGGTAGTGACATTGAAAAGTTCAAAATTCAAGCAGGACATGCAGTAGAACTGTGGTAATTACCCACTTTAATTTCTACAAAGAAATTAATTTTACATCATTACTAAGCTTGCACACATATGATCTAGAGGAGTTTCTCAAAAATATAAATTTTATGTACATTATAATTTGAAATGTTCACTGATCAATGCTATTTCCTTTTATTGCTTGTGAGCACTAGTCATAACCCATACATTTGATTTTATACTCCATTTCTAGGTCAGGCCCACAAAAAGTTTCAGGGATGTTGAAGAATGGAGAGAATTGTTCTCTCATTCATATTTGAAAAATATAAATATTATATGAAATCATAGTCAAATTTATTAGTGATAGAGACTCTTTGTAAGCTGAACTTATGTAAATATTAGAAGAAAAAACAGCTTTCTAGCAAGAAAGGTCACTCTTTGTTTTACAAACAACTCATCATGTGCTGCTTTATCAAGGGAAATGGGTCCATGACACCACAGCATGGATGCTAGCTTCTATGTGCCCTTGAAAAGACAGGTGACTGGGATACATAAGGATGAGAAGCTCAGGCTAGCACTGATTCAACCTTTACACTTAAATGTGAACAAGAACAATAACACTCTGGAAAGAATTCAAGATCATGGGCTGCCTCAGAGTAGAGTATAGGTCTCTATGCTTCTGAGCTTTATCCAATTACATAAAAAGAAATTAGAGAGAACTAGTGTTTCACATTTCAGAATGGTTTAAAATACTGATAATACAAAAAAAATCACACCAGAGCAGGCTTATGAATAGATAAAGAAGTATAGGCAATTTATGACAGCTGAGAGAGAATCAGTTTTTCCCAGTGAATAATCTGTCTAGTGAGTTATCCAATACCAAGTAGCCAGCCCTAAAAAAGTATACATGTGTGTGCATATGTATATATGCACATCAGATTATATATTTAATCATATAAATTAATTGTAAAAATTAAAAGACAAGATGTCATAAATTTGAGAGAGTAGGTGGGAAACAAGAATTTGAAAGAAGAGTGAGACAAGACGATTTTGTATGTGTGTATATGCATATATATATATATACATATATGTATGTATATATATTACATATATATAAAATTAAGAAAAATAAGACATATAAATGAGCTTCAGCAATGTAGCTTCATGGTGCAGGAAGAAAAACATGTGGCTTCCTAAATCAAACAAGAAACTGACATTCTTACTTTTAGAACAAGCCCACAGCCCTGACTATCCTCCAATCCAATTTCTGACTTAAATGTTATAGGATTTCTCAGGCAGATGGGTCAGAGGTATGAAAAAATCCCACTGTGTCACTGTAGATGACTTGGAAAGCAATAATTAGGATCTAGCTCAAGAAACAGAGTATTAAAGAAAACAGATACTTCAGATAAACTGAGAATGAGGACCAACCTCAGATTAGAAAATTATAATTTTGCTCAGCATAGTACTAGGGTGAGGTAAATATCAGAAGAGTTATGGAGAACAGGAGTGGCAGACATCAAAAGGCACAGGGTGGAGATGGCTTATGGCCTGGCTCTGGCAGGGGCACTCATAATGAGAGACCTACTCATAGTGGCAAGGAACAGAGCTCCTCAGCTGAGAACAATGTTGGCATCGAATAACTCTCAGCCTGATGGCAGAAAGTAGATCAACATCCAGAATCATATTTCTGCTATTCACTGCTGTGGAACAGAAGAACTAAAAAATACAAATCTGTACTCACTACTTATAGCTGTATCCCTTCAACAGGATGGTTAGTGCTAAGGAGATTTTGTAAGAATGATAGCAGCACTCTGAGATCTTAGTACTTTCCATACTTTCAATGCAATTGGAAGACAGACTTCCATTAATCCATTATCTGTCAATTTGACATAACCTAGAATAACCTGGAAGGAGTCTAAGTGAAAAATTCCCTAGATCTGGGTGGTTTGTGGTCATGCCATGGGACTATCTTTTTTTATTTTTTTATTTTATTTTATTTTTAAATTTTTTTTATTGGATATTTTATTTACATTTCATATCCCCCACCCACCCGGGAACCCCACATCCCCTTACCCCTCCTCCTTCTTCTCCGTGGATGTAACCACCACCTACCCCCCCCCACTCCCACTTCCCCACCCTCAAAATTCCCACCCCCTTGTCTAGTCCCAGCCTTCATGAGGTCAAGGATCTCTTCTTCCACCTGTGCCTGGCAGGGCCCTCCAAACTTACATATTCAGCTGAAGCCCTGGATCCCTCCATAAGTGCTCCCAGGCTGGTGGTTAGGACCCTGGGAGCTGTGGTTGGTTGGTATTGTTGCTCTCCTCATGGTGCCACAAACCCTTTCAGCTCCTTCAGTCCTCACTCTAACTTCTCCATTGAGAACCTCATGATCAGTTCAATGGCTAGTTGTGAGCATCTGCCTCTGAATATGTCAGACTCTTGAAGGCCTCTGAGGAGACATCCATATCAGGC